TACTCGGAAACTAGAAATGTGCGACAAAATGTAGTCCACCTAATCATCTTGCAATGCCCTCAATAAGTTAGTACATCAGGAGCCAAGCTTAGTTTCAGAAAGTGAATGATACTCGTGACTGGTAAGGATGGCTCGGATTGTTAATCGAAATGGTATTTTAAATATCTCCCCAATAGGTTATTAGAACCTTACAATACTAAACAATGTATAACAATATCTATGTAATGACTGAGTCACAAGTTCTGGGGATATCTAAAAATATCATAGCAAGAAAGTTTGAATTTCTTGTTCTTTCTTCTGCTACTTTTTTATTAGATGATAACTAAAAAAAAACCAAAACAATGGTGTCAACCAGTTTTAGTGAGGTGACATAGCTTCAAACGGATTATCCGCTTTTATAAGTATTATTAATAACTAGTAATAACTTAAAAAATTATAATTCTAATGTAGACAATGTTATTACCCCTAGAACTTAGCTTTTCTACAGGGTGAAACAGGAATTACCAGCCAATCTTTGCCTCATAACCCCTTTGACGGGTTTAGATTTTGTAATAAACCCATTATACTTCACAGCATTAAACATGCTCTTATAGACACTTTTATTTCAGTTAATAAGAACATTTTCGAACTAGACTTTTTTAACACATTTAAAAGTTTTTGTTTTTTTTATTTTACACAAATATACACGAAGATACCTAAATACATCGTTTTTAACCACCTTCAACAGCTAATTTTATATGTGTTGATGAAACACAAGCCATCTCGTAACACCCCGATGAGAGTATACTGCAAATATCTCTTGCAAATTACACTGCTTACAGACGTATTCAGGCTCATGGATGTGAGGTGAGATATGTGGCCTACTTGAACACAAAAAGTAGAAGTGCCATTACATCCAACGACGAAAACTTTCCAAAGCTAGTTTCTAGGATCAGTAATAAAACGTGCACCACACGTAACTTAAAGAGTTAAGAGAAAATATAAAAACAAGAAATAGCAACAACTACAATAAATTCAGCAGGAGTTGACTCCAGACACGTCCTAACCGGACATATACTTTAACTAAGCTGCATCTCGAATAACGGAACTCGCCTCACTTAATTTGTCTCAACAGGATTCTTGGGCTCTGTGACAATCGGCTTGTAAAGCTCAAAATTTGTTTGTTGCCATTTTTATTATAAGTGCCGATGTTAAATGGCTTTATTGATTAAAATATCAAACGTAACTAAAACATTTTTAATAATTTTGTTAACACGTGTTTGAAAATGTAAGAGAGCTAGCTGAGTAGAGCTATTTTTTGGGTGCGTAAGATTAAATAAGTCACAAAAAATATGCACCAAAGGTTTTGACTGTTATATTTTAATCTATATAATGTAAATGAAACCTCTCTTTCTCTAACAGCTTGGTATTTTCATATGTACTGATTTCCCCTAAAAGTTATCAGGTATGTTCCGCTGAATAACAGGAGATTCGACAGAAAATGTATCACGGAGCAAAATGAACTCTCTGGATCTGAATGAGCTTGTAGAGTGAAAGAATCAAGATACAATGTATGATAAAATCAAACAATTTTTATTCAGGTCACAAACACATTCAGATGTAGTGAATTCACAAAGAACGATGCCTTTACTGAAGGCATACTCTACGTATCAAAAATGCGTTTCTCTCGAGAAGCGTTAAAAAGTTGCTGAAGCTGTTCCAGACTGAGAAAACATTGCATTATATACGCATAACAATAATGCTACTCACGTGACGATTGGTAATTACCACCGAAATATATGGAAGGTTACATCTTCGAGGGGTCATATTACCTGCCAATGGTAAATATCACGGTCTTCTTCTACATACTATGTACAGCTCTACAATATTTTTTTCCAAAATAAAAGACACAGGTGATACCTTAGGCGATTGACCCAGAACAAGGTATCGTGGGCGAAAGGATGAAAAGAACTTGGCTACTTTCATGACCAATGTTCTACGTTCAATTACATACATCTGCATAAAAGAAAATTTTGAAATTTCTTTTATAAAACAAGGAGTAGTAAACACATAATATGTTTGCACATCACAGCCGCTCTTATGTTCTATGATTATACTGGTTCTTGATCAAGTCTAAAATCTTAATTCTTGATGAAAGTAGACTAAATGTCAAAACCAGTAAGATTTCCTCTTTGAAGCTTTCTAGTGTAAATCAAATGGTCTTAATTTCTTTTTTGCTTAAGTTTTTTCAAATATATAATTCAAAAGTAAAATAGTTCAATGGTGATTTATGTATGTCTGGAAATAGAATCGCTTTGATTTCAGCAAGGTTTCCCTTTCTTTGAACAAAGACAATATATATATTGACGCATGGCCGGAAGCCATGTCATAATGTACTTTTATCAGCATGAGTATTTTATCACAGAAAAGAGGGGCCTTTTTTTTCAAAAGAAATGGCTTCAATATAATCATGACACTGCTGGGATTTGATCTTGAAATTTGAAGCAACTTTCCTTATCAGAAGATTATCATTATAACATATTCCTATGACAATAATGGAGATTTTTTTTTCTTTAAATAAAAAAATATATACGACATTGCACTGTAGAAATTCCTTTTTGAAATGACTTTTAACCCCATGTGTAATAACATTTTGACAAACTCAATTACAGTAAGTTTGGCAAACCCATGCCTCACTCAAGGTAACAAAAACTGATATTTATCACTAACCAGAAGATTTTCTAAAATTGGTTTTCATTTTAGAGAGATGACATCGGAGATCTTTGATTCTGATTTTATTTGAAGTAAAGGTATCATTTACTATTAACTTTACAAAGCCCTTTGCATTTGAGAGTTTTCCTTCAAAACACGGCGATCAACTTTCTTACCGAGAACAAATGATCTCTACAAGTAAAACACGCTTTTCCAATATATTACTGAAATTATTGGTATCTCGTTTAGATACGTACGACTTACTTGTTTGTGTACATTTATAGCGTAGTAACAAAATTCAGCTTTCTCAGTAAGAACTGGTATGTCAACCTTCTATCGTAAATCAAACAAAATGAACCTGAAATTTTATTTATATCTGATACTAGAGCGAGTGCATGGCTTACTCAAACTTAAACACAAAATAGAACGATCAAAGTAACTATTATACGGTAAATGTAACTGACTCAATTTTTAGGACTACTTATAAATTTCAACTATATTATTATTTTTAGTTTGTTTTTTTAAAGTCTAAACGTATGAACACTCCTTCGGTGGGTTTCGATAACCGTGGTGGGCAGAGTACAGAAAGCCCATTGTGTAGCTTTGTGCTTAATTACAAACAAATAATGAATGTACATAGTTTATAAAAGCACTTGATTATATGAACAGTTATATAGTTTTAGATAACAGTTCAGAGCCTATCGAGTCAGTGTTTCCTATCCTTCAGAATTAAGAAATGCTTATGTTTTGTATTACAAATACAATGTGGTATTCTTCGCTTTCTAAAACACGTCTCCCCGTGGCTCATCCCTACGTTTACGGACTTACGTCGCTATAACCGGGGTTCGATTATCTATGGTGGATAGAGCACAAGTAGCACATTGTGTAGCTTTGCGCTAGAACAACAATAACATTTTAAAACAATTACAAAACCCTTTGATTCTCTCTAACTCTAACAATGTAAGTGATATATATATATATATATATAATAAAAAACAGTTCTTAACTTGTAATGGGGCAGGAATGCGTGTTTTGTACAGGATTCACTTAATACGAAGCATAAATTAACGTTTTTATAGAAAGTTACAAGGTAAATAACAATAAAGTTTCCAGAAAGAACTTGAAAAGTACTTTCCGTACTTTGGAAGAATATATAAATTATTATGCTAAAATTATTCAACTGTTAAAGTTTTATGAGCTGAATTCCTTTACACGTTATCCTGCTTTATCGCATTAATTTTTTTATGGCAGCACACTTATTGTAAACATGAAGTTTTTAGCCGCCATGTTAAAAAAAAAGGCGTATTGAATTTCATCCTTATGGCAGAAGTTTGTTGTATGGCAGAAGTTTGTTGTGATTGTTTCTTTTCGCTCTGTTTTCTAATTCGTCAGACGAAAAAGGACAGTTAGTTTCTTTGACATTACAGAGTTTAATATTTTCATTCGTGGAGGTCTAAATAAAAAAAAACACAAACGCTAGTACTACGCCTCCTATATAATAATGGTATATTGAACACAATAAATCTTTTACAGCACTGAACAATAAGAAATCCTTGACGTTTGCAATTTTCTTTCTCTTAATATATATATATATATATATATATATTGTCATTTACCTTTCTCATACGTTTATATACTTCTCAGTGGGATTCAAAGTGTCTTACAGAAGAAATATATATACTTTTTCTGCAATTTATTTTTATTTGGTAGTTTTTTGTTAAAATATGTCTGTTGAGAGTCAACTAAAGAAGGGGATGAATCGATTGAGCGCAAGTGACGTATTTTTACTGAATTCACGTTTGAAATGAACTGAACCCGGATTATAGTGGTTCATATACATATATATATATGGAACGCCGAGTTCAAAGCGCTTAAACTTAATTAACGCTGGCTTACAGACTTAGATTCACAATATAAACCTTTATTTTTTTACTGAGTCAGTAAAAAGGAAATGGAGTTTTTATGTCTCCCCCATAGAGAGGGAGACATTGTATTTCCTATGCCTGTTTCTTTTCTTCTTATCCAAGAAATATAAATGCGCACCATTCCTTTATTTCTAGACCAATCACTCTGAAAATCATTATAGCATTATTTTAAAATAGAATTAGGTGTATCCAATTCCTGGCTGTCACTGATTTTTTAAGCATCAGCAAATTTCGACATTTTAATATTACTTTTGTTATCTCCATTTTGTTTCCAAGAAATACAAATGACTTTGTTGAGTGATTATAATTGGCTAAGAAATGATTAAACTAGAATCTATAGAAACAAGTTCATATTTACTTTTGCTAGTCTTTTCTGTTTCACAGTATTACAACCATGAGCAAACAACCAGACAGATTTTATCCTCTAGCCGTTGCAGCCACAGCCTTAACAGTATACAGCACCTCCCTTGGGGGTAACCTCGTGTTTGACGACGTGGCCGCCATTCAGGAGAACCGCGATGTGAGACCTTCTAGTTCATTGCTTAATCTTTTCCTTAATGATTTCTGGGGAACTCCATTGCAGAAGGTTTGTAATTTATCAATTCTTTCGTCTTCCTCCTGTAAGTTTATAATAAATTTATTTGTCGTTTCAAGGTAATCTTCGTGTTCCTCTATTTAAGACGTAACAATATCATATATCAGTCGCATATGGATATTTACTTCCTATGTTTTCTGTACTTGTGTTCACAAAAAATACGATTAAAATAATTTAAAAAAATTCCTTATAGAGGGGTAGGTACAGATTGCCAGACATAATTTCAGAAATAATGCATTTTTTAGGGGGGGGGCATCAATCTTTTAAAAATGACGTTATCTTTCTTTTTTAACATAAAATTGCATAAAACTATATTGTGCTCTTTGTAATCAAATTCTTGTAACATTTAGATCTTCATTTATTTAATTATTTTACGCACATAATTATGACTTACTTTTTAGAGTACATTTAGGTTATTTTGGAGCATTTTTTGTAATGCTTTCGCATTTCAACTTTATTATACGTAGTGTCAAATTCTGTATTTTTATTCTGTATTGCAACTGCATATTGAGAATAAAAACACTCAAAATATTTTGTAAAGCAGTTACCACCGTTATCAATGTTAGTGGTTTAAGTTCTATGTCATTAAAGATTTACGTATGTTTGCTTATAATTGTGGACAAATCTATTATTACTTCCCCTTTATTATGTTGTATCACAAACGCATGAATAATTTCCAATGACATTCATTATATTTTGGCGTTAAAGTACTGGTCAGTTTTGTTATTCATTACAAATGTTTCTCTGCCAAGCAGGAACAAAGCCACAAGTCATACCGTCCATTCACTGTCTTCACATTCCGACTCAATTATGCCGTCCATGGCCTACAGCCTTTGGGTTATCACATGATCAATGTTCTGCTTCATGCCTTAGTATGCGTCTTGTATTACAGGTAATATCATTATTTGTTTCATGCTAATCTTGGACCTTCGTGGCGCTACTATTGTGATAGTTTTATCCTAATCGTATTCTATAGGAAACATATTTACGTCATTTTTCATACAACCTTGTTCTTCTGGTGTCGAAATATTACACAAATCGTTTATGGGCGTGTTTCTAAATGTTGAAATAAAAATGGTGATTTGTTTGCTAGGGATTAATTATACTTCAAATTAAGTTGAAAGTTATGAATTATTAGCTCCTGTATTGTTTGCTGTGTGAATCGTTTGTTGACTTATGTCAGATTCTCAGACCTTCAGTCTTGTCTCATTCTCGAGACGACTTTACGTACAACTTTTGCTACTACTACTGTGTACAATAGTCAAGTCAACCACACGGAACATCCCTGCTAGGCGTTCTGTTCTATTCGAATAGGAATCCATAAGCTGAGAAACACCATCAACACCTGGTATATTTTATCTAACTTATTAAACTTTTTTTTTTAATAATTATAAGAGGTAGATCATTCTTATTGGTAAATGTCAAATAAATATGTAGTTCCGGACATACCGCAAGTGACAATAACTAAATAATTTATTAGAAGGCTTTCATTACGTGGGAGTACAAATCACATCTGCTTAAGGTTTGAACAGTAAGAGAATGTTAAATGCAAAGTTCAATTTAAAACACACTTTTATTACAGATTGTGCCTCCTCTTCTTGCCTCGTGTTGTCAGCTTTGTCGCCGCCATTTTGTTTTCCGTCCATCCGATTCACACAGAAGCAGTAAGTAATTATTGTTATTTTCTATTTTTTTAAAGTTTCAAATGAAATACACATGCTGCATTCATAATCGAAACTACAATATTTACCTACTATTCTATACACCGAGTTTCATTTCTTGTTACTTACCGCTCACAACTTTTCTGTGCGTGATGTGTCCGTGGTGATAATTTACAACACGCGAGTTTTTGAAATAAGCTAATTTCACAAGTAAGATGTGTTTACTATAACGCCTTCTATACAGAGTCTAGGAAATCTAGTTGCAGTTTAATTAACATTGTAATTATATTTAAAAGTAGATTAACAAAGAAATTTTGTATAAGCTTAATTGGCACGGAAGATATAGACTGAAAATTTCACACGTAAAACTGATCTTTTATTTATACATCTAGGCAAACATTTACTTTCATCAACAGTAGACGTACAAAAGAGCTAACATCAACTAAGAGAATCTCTCACCTGTCGTATAAAATGTTATACATCATAAACATTTACCTAAAAAAGAACCATTTTAAAGCTTCAGTCAACGACAAGTTAAAACACGAATTACAGAAATAAAGAATGACAGATAGAATGTGAGCTTCCAGAAAGAAAGTTCATCGAAAAAATGATTGTTTGCCCGAGTAAAGTTTG